TCCCAAGGGAATATCTCTGCTGGGGCTGTGGGGGGGAGGGCTCAGTTAGGCCGCTCTGTAGTTACTTTCGATTTCCACTAGTCTCGATTTTATCAATGCACCTTCGCCTTTGCTTGTCACGTCGCATTCCTTGGGGGGGGAGTGGATGTTGTTGGGGTGACTCTGGGAGTAGCCGCCATAGTTTCCCATGAGACTGTCCTTGGAGATCTGTTGGGCCAGGCTAGTTTAGATAGATCACCCCTACATCTATCAGGGGTGCCACAGAAACGCCACCATTTAGGTATGACGTGTGAATGTGTGGAATTTGGGGTTTAATTTCCCGCCTTTGCATTCAGTCCTAACAAAAGTTCTGCAGTCTACAGCATCTGCAAATCTCTAATAAAGCATGACACTGCCAAAAATGTGTGTGGAGAGTGAAGTCCCTGGGAACCTGACACTTTCATCCCTCTGCAGGAAGGAGAAGCCCTCCTTGCTCTTCCTTGGGTTCAGCCAGCTCCCAGGAAGTGAGTGATGGAGCACCCAATTCATAGAATCGTGGAATCATAGAGTCGGAAGGGACCGCCAGGGTCATCTAGTCCAACCCCCTGCACAAGGCAGGGAATCCACAAATACCTCCCCCCTCCACACCCCCAGCAGTGACCGCTGTTCCAATTGCCCGGGTGTTCCCAGCTCCTCAGGGCACATGGGGGGGCAGGGGGGCTACCTTTCCCCTCCAAGCAATGTCGTCACTCACCTCGGATGGAGCTGCCGCCGTTGTCGCCAGGGATCCACGCCAAGGTGATGGATGATGCGGAGGTTTTTGACACCGTCAGCCGGGGCTGGTCCGGGGGAACTGGACAGAGACAAGAGGTGGGGGAGCTGGGCGCGTGCCCTTCCACTCCCACATTCATGCTGGGCTTTTCATTTCATTCACTGACTGAAGCAAGCACAGACCTTCTAGCCTCCAGCACAGTAATAAACATGAATGTTACCAAACAACCAGAAATACTTGCTCACCAACAATAGAAATATCCGCATTCCAGAACAAAAATGGGTGGGAGGGGCCCTGAAGTGATACGAGTATGAGAGGCCACCCACAGAACCACAGGCTTCTGGGCAGGCGTATGTCACCTGCAGGGCCCCCTCCATTGGCCGCACAGAGGCCGGCAGTTATCCACTGTGGATGAAAACGGAAGGAGAAAGGTCCGGGGCTTTCATGGCCTTGGATGTTTACGTGACAGTCAAAAAGGAAAGCAAAGAGGGGGGGGGGATCCCGGATGTTCCTCTGCACCAAGAAATAAAGGGAGGTGCCAAAGCTCCATCTGAATGGTGCTGTTGCCATACAATCAAGGCTGCATCGCACCACGCTTGGCCCGGCCTTCCCGTGTCTCAGTCCTTGCATGCCATCTCATCCAACGGCCCTGCAGGGGGCAACCCCCCCCCCAACCTGCTTTAGACCACCCAGTTCTGTTTTAACAAGTGCTCAACACATGCTGGAGTGGCCGGGCTGACCCACAGGAAGCTGGCAGCAAGGAACAGGGAGCCCAGGCAAGAGGCAGAGGCCGGGCCCTCTCTCGCTCCCACAGGCTCTGCCCACAGGCTCCAGCTGGCCCTTCCTGCTCCCCAGAAGATGGCCAGGAGGCTCTGCGGAGGGAGGCCACAGCTGCCAAGAGGCCAGAGGCGACTGTGGCGAGAGGTGGGCCAAACACCTCTGCTGGGCCTCACCTTGCACCAGCAAGTTCACAATGATGGTGTCAAAGCCCCACGTATTGGTGGCCGTGCAGGTGTAATAGCCCGAATCCTCTGCCTTCACTGAGCGCAGGATCAGTGTGCCATTGGCCTGGATCTGCCGATGCCCGTCCACAGCCACTGGAATGGCAGAATCCTCACTGCAAAGAAGAAGAAGAAGAGGAGGAGGAGGAGGAGGAGATTGGATGTATGCCCCTTGCCCTTCCCTGAGAGTCTTAGAGGGCTTACAAACTCCTTCCCCTTCCCCTCCCCACGACAGACAGACACACACACCCCCGTGAGGGTAGGGGAAGCTCAGCTAGGCCCATGAGAGAGAAGACCCCCGGTTGCCCAGTGTCAGCCGGGGCTTTCAGACTGTGCCACGGACCTCCCCGCCCTGCCCCCGTACCTGTCCTTGGTCCACTTCACCGCCGGGACAGGCTCCCCCACAGACTGGCAGGGCAGGCGCACGTCTTTCATCCAGGGAGTTGTGACTGTGCCTCCAAAGGAAATGATCTTGGCCGGGGCTGCAAGTGGGGCGGAGGGGGAGGGGGAGGTCAGGCGGGGGGGTCCTCCTCACCCCTCTCTGCCGCCCCGTCCACCACTGAGCCCCCCCCCGCCCCTCCGAGCCACACAGACCTTTCCCTGCAGGCTCGATGGTGACCTTCTCGCTGATGTTGCCACGCCCAGCCGAGGTGACGGCCGCGACCCACAGCAGGTACTGCTGGCCCCGGTTCAGGTGTGCGATGCGGTAGAAGAGCTGGTCGGGGCTTGTCTCGTACTCACTGGGCGCCTGGAAGAGAAGCCACGGAGCGGCTGTCCACTAGGGGAGGGGCGGGGGGCCCCCCAGAACGGAATGCCGGAAGCGGAGGGGGCCAGAACGGAATGCTGCACGGGGCGCACGGGGGTGGTGGGTGGGTGGTGGTGCTATTCTGACCCTCCAGCCGGCATCTTGACATAAGTGCAGTTTCACATTTGGGGGCATCTCTCCCAGCTCTCTCACCCAAACTTCCCTATCAACAGCTAGACTGAACAACAGGAAGGACTTGGTAGCTTCCAGTATCAGTGTGTTTCTCGTGACAGACTCTGCAGTTTTAAAGAAACTGGAGCTGGGCTTGGGGAGGGAAAATCTTACCAGTCAGTTGATCTCAGTTCTTATTTAAAAGTTAGCACATTTCCCCCACAGTTTGGGGGTGGGGGGGAGAGATGCTGTTTTTGCAGTGAAATGCAGGGGCCAGAGTAGCCCCATCCACAAGTTACAATCTGCTTACAGTGTGTACTTGATCCCCGGTTATGTTTGCATAATAAGTCCACTAATGCTGGATCTTTCTTACAAACACAGGTAGGTGAGATCACCCTATGACGTGAACTGGGCTACTGCCAAGCTTGGCTCTGGGAGACACCCCCCCCCCGTGTGATGACATCCGGGAGAGCCAGGTTTGAATCCCCACCATTCTGCCGTGAAAGCTTGCTGGGTGGCCTTGGGTCAGCCACCCTCTCTCACCTTGCCCTACCTCACAGGGCTTCTTATGCTAGGATAAATGTGAGGAGGGCAATGTTGGAAGCCACTTTTGGTTCCCACTGGGGAGAGGGGCCTGAATAAATAAATAAAGAAGATTCTCCCTCTCTCTGTCTCTCTCTGTGTCTCTCTGCAGCCAGCCCTTTTTGTCTGCCTAGGGGGCAAATGAGTTGGAAGAGGTCCTACAGGCCATCTAGCCCCAACCCCCCCCCCCCCTCCGTTGCAGGATCACCTGCAGCCAGCCCTTTTTGTCTGCCTAGGGGGCAAATGAGTTGGAAGAGGTCCTACAGGCCATCTAGCCCCAACCCCCCCCCCCGCTCAGTGCAGGATCAGCCTCGAGCATCCCTGACGAGGGTTTGTCCAGCCGTTGCTTGAAGACTGCCAGGGAGGGGGGGCTCACCACCTCCCCAGGCAGCCCCTTCCACTGCTGCACAACCTTCTTACCGGGGGGGGGGGTAGATTCAGGTGGGGGCAGCCATGTTGGTTTGAAGCAGCAGAACAAGGTTTGAGTCCAGTGGGGGGGGGGCACCTTTAAGACCAACAGAGTTTCATTCTGGGTAGAAGCTTTCGTGTGCACACACACTTCTTCAGATACAATGAAAAGTTACTAGTCCTTACATACAGGTACATAAGGACACAAGAGAAGCCAATGTTGGATCAGGCCAAAGGCCCATCCAGTCCAACACTCTGTGTCACACAGTGGCCAGAAATACCAGGGGCCATCAGGAGGTCCAGCAGTGGGGCCAGGACACCAGAAGCCCCTCCCACTGCCCTGCAAGCACCAGGAGTACAGAGCTTCCCTTGCCCTGGACATAAGAGAACATAAGAGAAGCCAGTGTTGGCTCAGGCCAAAGGCCCATCCAGTCCAACACTCTGTATCACACAGTGGCCAGAAATACCAGGGGCCGCCAGGAGATCCACCAGTGAGAGTGAGCAGTAAATTAGCATACAACATAATGAAGACATTTAACAGATTCAAGGACCAAACAGGAATAACAAGCTTAGTTTATATGGTCACCATTTGTTTGGGTTCAATTTCGGGGGGAAATACAGTGAAGAAAATAACTTCTCATAATTGTTGAATTATTGTGGAATAATTAACTGAGACCCTGCCATTATGCTCCATCCATCTCCTCTCAAGCACAGAGGCGACCTTACAGCATTCTCTTCTGTGTAGAGTTATCTCCCCTGTCCTCAGACCAAAGAAATACATTCCCATTTACCTTTCCAAATTATATTACATTCTACTATTCATTACAATCTACTATTCCAAATAAGAAACAAAATAAAGAGGATGTATGGCCCTTCTGGGGGACTGGTGGGAATACACATGTAAGGAGTGAATGAGGTTAGCATGTGTAGTGAGATAAGAAACCAATATCCCTGTTAGGTCCTGGGGATTCCATTGTTCAGCAATTTCCCTTTGTTCCTGAAGTTCCTTTGCAATAAAACAGCTGCTCTGCGGTCACCCACTGAATGTCCTGGAAGGCTGAAGGGTTCTCCTGCAGGTTTCTCAGTCTTGTGATACCTGATGTCAGATTTCTGTCCATTCATCCTTTGGCACGGGGCTTGACCTGTTTGCCCTGTGCAGAGAACTGACAGGCATTGTTGGCATTTAACGGCATATATAAAATGTTAGAAGATGAGCAGGTGGAATGAGCCTGAGATGGCGTATTTTATGTTGCTGGGTCCAGTGATCAAGTGTTGTCTGGGTGTATGCAGCAGCAAAGTTGGCATCTGGGTTTATTGCAAGCTCTGGTACCAATGTCCATCTTCAAGTTAGATGTTGGAGTACTGTGGGTGAGGAGTTGTTTAAGACTGAGGGGCTGTCTGTGTGCAAGAAAAGGTCTGCTCCCCCAGTACTTGTGAAAGAGAACTGTCATTATTCAGTAGAGGTTTTAAGTCGTTGATGATGCATTGAACTGTTTTGAGTTGAGAGCTATATGTGACCAATAGTGGTGTTCTGTTATTGTCTCTTTTGGGCCTGTCTTTTAAACAGGCTTTCTCTGGCTTTGTTGTTCATCTTGTGGATATTTTAGTCCTAAAAAAGTTTGTTATGAGAATCTCTGTCTGTAGGATTGGAACAGATGTGGTTGTAGAGTAAAGCCTGGCTGCAGACAATAGATTGTTTGGTTTGCTTAGGATGGTAGCTGGATGCCAACAACATCAACAGGTTTCTATGTATCTGTTATGTATTTGTACTGTACAACACTAAGAACAATGGAATCCCCAGGACTTAACAGGGATATTGGTTTCTCATCTCGCTACATATGCAAACCTCATTCAGTCCTTACATCTGTATTCTATAATGGCAGAGTCTCAGTTAATTACCCTCAGCATTCCACGATTAAGAAGGGTACATCTTCCCATCAGTCTCCAATTTTGATATACTTATTTCCTTCACTGTGTTTCCCCCTGGACTTAAACCCAAACAAACTGTAACCATATAAACTAAGTGTTGGGTTTAAAAAGGAAAAATTGGTATTTAGCAGATATAAAATAGCTTAGCAGTGCCAGAGTAAAATAATTCAGACTCAGAGTCCATGTGTGATTAAAATAGAAAGTTTTTACTACATTCTAGCATAGGGAAGGGTAACTGGGATAAAAATAACAAGCTAAATCTCCTACATCTTTACACTACAAAGACAAGACTAGAAGAGAGGTAATGGCTGCTCTTCTTTCTTCTTCTTGAGAACTCCAAACAAAGACAGGAAGAGAAGCCATAAAATGCTAAAACACTTTGACACATTCGTTCCAATCAAACTCTTAGATCAGGGAGAATTTCCCGGGCTTCCAGCATCTAAACTAACATTGGTTACATGAAACATGTGATTTCCTGTGAGCAACACAAACAAACATTTAACCCCAGATATACTGAGTGTAATTTAACTTTTAATACCCAACACTAAGCTTATTATTCCTGTTTGGTCCTTGAATCTGTTAAACATCTTCATTGTGTCGTGTGCTAATTTACTGCTCACCCTCTACCTATATGCATGGACTGGTAACTGCCATTCCATTGTATCTGAGGAAGTGTGCGCCTGCACACGAAAGCTCACCCCTTGAATAAAACTCTGTTGGTCTTAAAGGTGCCACCACCGGACTTGAACTTTGTTCTGTAAAAAAACTATTCCTAATATCCAGCCGGTACCTTCCTCCCCTTAATTCAATCCCATTATGGCGAGTCCTCTCCTCTGCTGCCCACAGGAACAGCTCCCTGCCCTCCTCTAAGTGACACAGGCCGTTCAGAGACTTCAAGAGAGCCTCCTCCTCTCCAGACTGAACATTCCCAAGAAGTCCCTCAGACTTTCCTCACAGGGCTTGGTCTCCAGCCCCCCGATCATCCTCGTCTCTCTGCTCTGCACACGCTCCATTCTGTCCACATCCTTTTTGGAGTGAGGCCTCCAGAACTGCACACAATGCTGACCAATGCAGTGTACAATTTGGATGTTACGCCTCTGCTGATACACCCCAAGCTCGCATTAGCCTTTTTTGTCACCGCTCATATTTAACTTATGGTCCACCCATACCTTGTTCACACACACTGCTACCCAGAAGTGTATCCCCCATCCAGTATGTGTGTTCCTCATCTTTTTACCCACATGTAGAACTCTGCATTTATCCTTGTTGAATAGCATCTTATTCACACCTGCCCACTCCTGGGCAAATGCGTTCGTATCTCACTGAATTCCATCTCTATCTTCCGAGGTGTTCAGTACACCTCCCAATCTGGTGTCACCTGCAAATGTAATGAGCGGTCCCTCCACCCCATCACCCAGATCACGTATTGAAAAGTAGCCTGAGTCCTGTGGCACCGATCAGATGAGACGCTGCTGACCGCGACTCTCTGGGCCCAGATCAAGACGGGCTGCTGCTGCTGCTGCGTGAGTCTTCTGCAGCAGGAGAAAACTTTTTCCCTTGTGATTTTTCTAAATTCTGTTATCTGTACATTTTCTTTTCTTTTATGTATTTTCATTAAAAGTTTAATAAAATTTCGAAAAACAAAAGGAAAGGAAAGAGCAAGCGTCCAGTAGCACCTTACAGACTCACCCCTCCACAAATGTTGTCAAGTCTTTACGGTGCTACTGGACGCTTGCTCTTTGGGTGCAGCTCTTCAACTGGTTCCCTATCCACCTTACTGCCCTGGAGTCCAGTCCCCACAGTCCTGTAGAGATGTAGAAATGTCTGTTCTCAGAATGACCAGTGCCCCAGACGTCTCTCCGAAAACCATTGGCATGGGTGGCTTTCCATGGGGCCAGGCACCATTGCCTCTG